CCCAAGAATCTCACAGACTGTTCTGAGAAGGACCGCCATATCCTTCAGATACAGATAGGACCAGAAGGCGACAAGATAGCTGCTTTGAAATATTTAAGAGCTGGCCTATGGTCACTAAAACAGTTATTTCCCTCATAGTATTGCAGGCCTGACAGTATGTCTGTACTACTGGAGGTGACCGACCATGCAAAACGCTGCAACCGAGTGAGGTTATCAACGCTGCAGGCGACAAAGCTGCATGTCATCTCAGAGTATTCACTATCACTGTGCAATCAGCAACATGAAAAAGGGCTTATAGTTAGTATGTTACTATTGCTGCTACAATAACATGGCTAAAAGCAAAGATTATTAATATTATAAGGCCAGAGACCAGAAACATCAGGAGTTGGCTCCGATCATGTAAGACAGATGTTATTTAAATATACAACATAATGAATGGATATATATATAATGACAGAATATCTGTACTACTATCTTCAACTTCAAGGACTGTTTTGCTCACAGTTTTGGTATTTAACCACAGGCCACTTCATCAGTAACAAAACACTTTGCACAAATGAAATCCCTGCTAGACTTTCAACTGCAACGTGTCAGAGGATTCCTTATGGTTCTGTACAAAATACCACATTAGATTTCAACCAAAGCCAGCTCTGACTTTGTAAGTAGAGGGAGAGGTCTTACTTCATTTTCCCAGCTTCTGGATTGAATCACTTTTGGACGTTTAGCCCTGGGGTCACTGATGACATCATGCCCTCCACCTTAGTCCAAAGTGCCCATTTACTCTCATGTTGCTTGTTGCTCCCATGATGTTTTAGAAACTGAGGACAGAAAGGAAGTAATAACAACCCCCGCCCTAGACAACATAAGTATTTATATATCATCTGAGTTGGAACAATATTTCCCTCCGTACAGTGAAGGACTCGGTCCTACCTCATCTTTAATGCTTACCAGAAGGCGAGTTATTCTAACTAAAGCTCATGTCTCCCCAGAGACCGTAAACACACTTGTAGTCAGGCTGCAGAACCGCTATTGTTGACGTTACTTGGGTGAACGATGAGGCTTTCGAAACACTGTTGGTGATCCTTCCTGGCGTGTGCAAACAGCCCGTCCTGTATTTAGATGAAATGTAATGTGAAATTTAGCATATACTTGCCAAATCAAAGAAAGAAAAGATTCATAGATCTGCCGACTTTCATTATAAGCAACATAGTTTCTCCACGTACATTTAAAAGATGTTTATCAGACCTCCATAACTTCTTTTTATAACATGCTACATTTACTGTAGCACTAAGCCTGGTTTCATTTCTCCTCCTCTCAGTCTATCAAGTTGCCAGGAAGTGAGAGCCATTAGCTCTGGAGATCTGAGGCAAGATCAAGGAAGTAGATGGTGGTTGTGGGATGGATCCCAGGTGTTCACACACCTGCACAAAAGCTGTCTTTTTACATGTTTTCCTGTTACTTGTCAGCAAAGTTTTTCCTGTTACTGTCATTTGTCATTTTGTTATCGTTGACTAAAACTAATGTTATTAACAAACATTTTTGTTAATTGAAATAAAGCTGAAATAAAATGAAATATAAATATTAGATGAAAAACTTAAACTAAACATTTTGAAATTGGCATGCAACTAACTGAAATACGTTCAAGTTGAAGTATAAAAACTAAAACTGAAATAAAAATAAAAATACAACTGAAATTATTTAGAAATAAAAAACTAAAACTAAAAAAATATCAAAAGCACATAAAGTATTAAAAATTAAGGTAAAATGAAAATATAAAAATAAAAGCCATTATATAACTATAATAGTATATAAATAATGCCAAAATAGCACTGATGGGTGTTTAATGGTATAATGACAATAAAGAGTATATAAAAGGAAAAATCTACTTTTGTGTTTCAATTTCTTATAAATGTTGGTTTAATTTAAAGACAATTTTCAATTTAACAACTCTAAAATTGTCATGTGGTGTAACCATCAAGTATATTTTTCTCTTCAACACCGATCTCTTTTCAAACATATTTTTCAAGGTGAAAAGTAATTTTTATACACATTATGAATGATAAATTCATAAGAATCATTACATTTTTGGGGAGTCACACTGACCCAGCCTTGTCTCACCTCTACAAAGCCAAATTATATATTCAAAGAGAATATGCATTTTGTATGTACTTTTAAATAAATTAATGACTAGGAAAAGAAAAGTGTGTCATGTCATTAACCCATCTACGAGAAACACAGAACCATGATACCCTTGATGGGAACGGAGAAGGTTCATATTCCCTCAAACGCAGGTCTGTAATGATGGAAACCAGGGGCAGCCTCAGGCCACAGGAGCCTTAAACATGAACGTTCCCTAATTTACGAGCAGATTCAGGGCAAAGAAGCTTTTAAAGCAGCTCTCAGCTGAGGGTAAGTGGTATCATCGTAGTAAAAGAGTGTCAGCTGATTATTTATGAAGCTTCAGGAGGTGCGGCGCCCTTTTTTATCTTAGCTTTTCACACCCACGATCATTTGAGCCTTTTGTCTTGCCAGGGGAAAGAGGAAAGATGAAACACGGTGGTTGATATCTTTCATCTCGCATCCCGTGATTACACCCTCCCTGTGGGCGTGTGTAAGACAGGCAGCGTAAATAGATTCATTATTTCAGCGGTGGCTGATTATTATTATTAGCTGGGTGGAAACTGATACACTGGGCTTGTCTCTGCCAGGGAGGCCTATCACTTATCATAAGGCTTTCCCTCCAACGTCTCAGTAATGTTTTGGCAAACTGATAGCGTTGCCGCAACGCTGTGACAATATTATTCCGTGACGGGCACTCGCAGGGCCGTACGCTCACGTTAAAGTCAACCTGGTGTTTTTATTACACTTTTGGTTTATGTGTGTACTGTAAATGGTTTTAACACCTCGCATTGTGAACATGGGGTATGTTATTGTACCGAAAGTGAACAAATCTGATCCTTACTCCCCTATGAAGATTGTGTGATGTAAGACAAAATAAAAAAAAACCATCAGTGTTGTTTTGAATCAGTGCTTGTTCTTTCAAAAAATGTAAGAGTTCTTGTCACTTTTGCTGTTCTCTAAACACTCTCCCTAGGCGGTCTGCGCATCTAAGGCAGAAGTGTTTATTCGCAAATATTTGCTGGTGAAGCATGCAAATGTGCAGACCTCCAACAGAATGAGGTCTTTTTCCAAACAAGAATATAGTCTTACCTTTGTGATCTTGAAGGCCTTTTATGGGTAATGCAGTAATGAGTTTGTCTTTTTTTCTGCACATAAATGCCAACGCGAGAAAGCTTGGGTTAGGTGCAAACTCCAGGAATTTGATAAAACCCATAACAGAGGAAATCAATGCCTAAAACTAAAGCTTTTGCTGCCCATTTGGCAAGAACTTATAAAACGTACACCTTTAATTCAGTACTGTAAGTAGTTTTGGACAAAAGCCTCTGCCAAACGCATACATTTAAAATGTATATATAAATTAGGTGATGTGCACTAGGCTACCGTTCAAATGTGTGGGTAATAGTTGATCTCAGAAGAGCTGATATCAAAAGTACAGTAAAATTGTGAAATATTATTCCAAATTGTGAAATATTACTATATTTAAAAAAGTAAGTTATTCCTGTGATTGCTGTCACGGTGTGGGTTTTGTCTTGTTCCTTGTTCTTGTCTGTTATGTGATTCCCTGTTTGCCATGTGTCTTGTTAATTGTCTGATCATAGTTCCCATGTGTTTCTGATTAGCCACGCCCCCTTGTTATCTTGTTAAGCTTGTTTGCCCCTGTGTATTTATAGCCCTTGTGTTTCACTTGTTACTTTGTCAGTTGTTGTAAGTGTAATGTTGCCTCTGTGATTCCCCTGGTTTTCTTACTTTGTACTTTGAGTTCTGTGTTCTGTTTTGTGTTACTTTATTAAATAACCATGCGTTTAGATCCTCTTCTTCGCCTGCTTTCTCCAGCAATGTTACAATTGCAAAGCTGAATTTTCAGCATCATTACTCCAGTCTCCAGTGTCACATGATCCTTCAGAAAACATTAATGCTGATTTGGTGCTTAAGAAACATTTCTTATTATTGTCACAGTTGAAAACAGTTGTGCTGCTTAATTATAATTAAAAAAAATTGAAAACCATGACACATTTTTTTCAAACAAAATTCAATGAATAGAAAGTTCAAAAGAACAGTATTTATTCAAAATAGAAATTTGTAACATTTATAAATGTCTTAACTGTTATTTTTGATCAATTAAATGTGTCCTTGCTTTAAATTGAATGGTGGTGTAAGGTGACTAATCAATATTAATAGATCTCTCAATCTGATTTGTGAACATTAAATTATGATTGAATGTTTACCTAATTAAGTAGTCCTATATAATTTGCTGAAAGGCACCAAAAGGCTTGCCATATTAGGGGCCGTTCACACAGGACGTGATCTTGCTTTCAAAAAAAGCAAGATGCAGACAAAACAGATTGCAAAAAAAGTTAAAGTACTTAAAAAAACAGCCACTGTGTTTGTGACACACTGTGTCTTAAAAAAACAGCCATCACAGTGTGAGATGGTGATCAAAAATGTTGAAAAGCATCGCTCAAACCCATCTTTCCTTGTTGGCCAAGCAAAACAAAGCTCTTAAAACAATGGTTATTTCTCTAAACGTGGGCTCCTATTGAAGCTCTACTGCAGCTGCCACGTCACACGCAGCACTGAGTCGTGCGCTTGCTAAAATTCCAGCTTCCTCCCTCTCATTTCCCAGCTATCATCAAAGAGCTATAAAACTTAATAGACGTTTTGCATAGTGCCTTATGACGGATCTGCATGTATGTGTTTGTTAGTCTCTCTCTCTCTCTCTCTCTCTCTCTCTCTCTCTCTCTCTCTCTCTCTCTCTCTCTCTCTCTCTCTCTCTCTCTCTCTCTCTCTCTCTCTCTCTCTCTCTCTCTCTCTCTCTCTCTCTCTCTCTCTCTCAGGGCGATGTAGCTGACAACCAACTGTACCTTCTGTGTGTGTTACAGGGACTGACTTGGATCAGGATCAACATGAGCGAGCGCTTTGACTGTGACAACTGCAAGGAGTCCCTATACGGCAGGAAGTACATCCAGGCGGAGGACAACCCTTACTGCATCCCTTGCTACGACAGCCTGTTCGCCAACACCTGTGATGAGTGCAAAGAGCTGATTGGCCACGATTCAAGAGTGAGTTGCACTAATTAATGGGATAGTTCTCCTAATTTACACACCCATTCCAAACCTGTATGACTTTATATCTCCTGTGGAACACAAAAGAAGATATTTTGCAGAAGGTTTAACCTGCTCTTTTAAATACAATGAAAATTATTTTTAAAAATTCGTATTAATTTAATGAGTTTACCGACTTTGAATCTCAAATTTATGTGTTGAATTTTATTAAATTACTTTTGACGAAATTGTGCAGACAAAAAGGTCCACTGTCCATTGTCAGTAGTTTATCAATGTACTGTATGAAGCATAGCTCACACAACGCAAAGAATTTGAGTGACCAACCTGAACCCTGCGTGGTTAAATCTTTGGCCCTCATGCATAATTCAGGATTGCGTGATTCTTCCTTTTGGAATGACCGGATTTCGCCCGCAAAATGTCGCCGAACAAATGTGTCAAGTAAATGTGACCACAGGTTTAGACCACCAAAATGGAAAAATTTGAGAGTGAATTCCCTCTGAAGGGATAAAAGTAGTGACTGGTTCACTTTGTACGTCAAAATGTTGCTTTTACAGGAGGGGGGATTAGACTCAATTACACTGTGAAAGCCTTTTTTATGTGGTTTCAGCCTGAAACTGTCCGTTTAGCAGTTCTTTTGATAAAGGCATTTATTGTCCAATTAGAAATGTCATTCAACTTCAGTCAGGGCAACGATGTTGAAACCCGCAGGCAAAACATTAGCAACCAATTGAGACTTTAATCCTTCCCGTTTTGAGGGTAACTAATCCCTTCTAAATTAAATAAAAACCAAACAATGCAGTTAATATAGCACTGTAGTAAACTCCCCACAGGAAATCAGGAATCTGTGCACAAACAGACAAAGCTTCTGATGACAATGAGGGACAGCAGATGCTAAATAAAGTCGCTGTTTGTCTTGGCCATTTGCAGCACAGGTCATAAATTGCACCCTCCCTGTCTTATTACTATGTGTTTACATATTTTACATGAGGAGTCGACCCAGACGCCATGTACTCCACACACACACAAATAACTAGATGCACATGTGCTAGCGTTTGATATGCTGTTTCATTGCCATTACTTGAGATCTTAATCAGAAATGTACTTGGGATTGTGGAAAAGCTGTTTAATTTGTGGCCTCTTTTTACTTTTTTTTCCTATAAACAAGGCTAATCTGTGGGTTTGTCAACTTGTCTTTTACAATAACGCCACATTTTTAATATTCTAATATGGAGACACCAGTGCACCCTCTGCTGCTAGCTCACGTTTGTACATTTACAGTACATAACATTTAAGCGACTTGCATTGCAGCAGGTACACATTTACATCTTTATTGCTGGGAATCAAACCCATGATCTTGGCGTTGTTAGTACCATGCACTACTCTTTGAGCTACAAGAAAGCTAGTGAAAACCTGTTGGTTTAAAGGGAGAGTTTATCTTAAAGGAGTAATTCACTTTAAAATGAAAATTACCCCATGATTTGCTCACCCTCAAGCCATCCTAGGTGTATATGACTTTCTTCTTTCAGACGAATACAATCGGAGTTATATTTAAAAATATATCTGGCTCTTCCAAGCTTGATAATGGCAGTGAATTGCAACCAACAGTTTGAAGCTTAAAAAAGTGAATCCATCCATCATAAACGAACTTCATGCGGCTCTGGGGGGTTAATAAAGGCCTTCTGAAGCAAAGCGATGAGTTTGTGTAAGAAAAATATTAATATTTAAAACTTTATAAAGTAAAATAACTAGCTTCCGGCCAAACATACGGATTCGACTTTGAAGTCTAAAGCGCAACTTGTGCGAGTAATGCGACGTACAGCTGATATTTACGCTACGCCTTATACTACTTCTGACGTCATAAGTTGCGTAAGTTGTGCTTTAGGCGCAAGTAGACTGTGTATGTTCGGCCCCAAGCTACTTATTTTCCTTTGTAACATGTTAAATATTAATATTTTACTTACACAAACTCATCGCTTTGCTTCAGAAGGCCTTTATTAACCCCCACGAGCCGCGTGGAGGTCGTTTATGATGGATGGATTCACTTTTTTAAACTTCAAACTGTTGGTTGCAATTCACTGCCATTACCAAGCTAGGAAAAGCCAAGGATATTTTTAAATATAACTCCGATTGTATTCGTCTGAAAGAAGAAAGTCATATACACCTAGGATGGCTTGAGGGTGAGTAAATCATGGGCTAATTTTCATTTTAAAATGAACTACTCTTTTAAAAATTAAAAATACATTACAATCCCGTATGACTTCTTATGTGGATCACAAATGTTTGTTCTTCAACATTTCTCTTTTTGTGTTCCAAGGAAGAAAGAACGTCATATGACGTGATATTGAGTTAAAATGACGTGAACTATCTGTTAAAATGTTCGGTAACATGCCTGTGTTGTGTGATTCAGGAGCTGTTTTACGAGGACCGTCACTACCACGAACACTGCTTCCGCTGTTTCCGCTGCGACCGTTCGTTGGCCGACGAGCCCTTCACCAGCCAGGACGATGCTCTTCTGTGCAACGACTGCTACTGCAACGAGTTCTCCTCCAAATGTGTGGCCTGTGATAAAACCGTCATGCCTGGTACAAATGACATCAGCACACCACAGACCCCACTGGTCATAACTCTTATATGATAATATCACTCATTATCTGATATATCCTGTTCAGACTGGTCTCAAGTCCTTTAGTTTGTTCTCAATCCTGTTGTGTAAGACTGCAAGTCTTCACACTTTTGAAACAGACAGCTTGCCATGACCACAGGTATGCAGGTAACATTAGATTCACAAACATTAAGGAGCCAAAACAGAGAAAGGGGGAAGGTTGCGAAGTTCTGCCAAAGCAAATCCAAAGTACTAGCAGCATGACTTAAGTAAAGGAGGAGAAAGAGAGCGGTGAGGACCAGGTTAGATGTGACAAAATAATTGCCAGTCTGCCTGGCTTGCTGTCTCTCAGCCAAATCATTGCGCATGGCTGCCGTCCAAGCCTCTGAAGATAGGAGGAGATAAGCCAGTAAAATATTTCAGCAGGGCTGCATCCATCTGAAAAGTAGGTAACAATTCCAGGAGGTTACGTATGTTCTTTTACAAGGCTTGCAAGGTGAGGCCTATATTGAAAGACCTTTACATATTTTTATAATGCCTGCAAGGCCCAAGTATGAAACTTCTGCAACTAATTCAGCCTGAACCACTTTGGGGTCAATAAGATTTGTATTTATTTTTTTAAAGAAATTAACGCTTTTATTCAGCAATGACAAAGTAAATGAATCAAAATTGACAGATTTTTATTCAATATTCTATTCATCAAAAAATCCTAAAATAAATGTATCACAGTTTCCACAAAATTATTAAGCAAACACAATTGTTTTAAGCATTGATAATAATAAGAAATGATTCTTGAGCACCAAATCAGCATGTTATAATTTCTGAAGGATCATGTGACACTGAAGACTGGAGTAATAGCTAAAAATTAAGCTTTGCCATCACAGAAATAAATCGCATTGTAAAATATATTACTATAGAAAATATCGTAATATATTTGAACTGTTGTGTAAATCAATTCAAACTTTGTTTTGTAGGTAATTTTAGTCTTATGTGTGTTAGTCTTTTTGCTTTTTGTAATTTTATACTTTGAAAATTTCCAATTGACTTTGAATGTTAGAATGTTCAGCACTGAAAATATAACCAAAGGTGATGTCGTCATATTATTTGAATACAGAATTGTGAGTGATCTTCTTCCTGACATTTATTTGCATATTGAATTGCAGTTTTTTTTGTTTGTTTTTTGCACCTATTTAACCTTATAAAGTCGCCTTTAGACTAAAAGACGTGTGCTGAGTATGTGTGTAATTTAAACAAAATTTGTTATTTGAACACTTATATTGCTGCCTTGCAAACACTGCTATAGAGTTGTGCAGGGATGACATCCGAATCCCGGAAGACTTATTTGCCACTGGTTCCTTCGAGATTTTCCTATGGGGTTTTATAATGGGTTTTTTGCCATTTATGAGTGAAATAAAGCCTGTGGTCAACATACCTTGACAATACTTTGACGTTTTGTTCTACAACATACACCGCACACACTCACGTCCCAAACTGCCTTACTTAATAGAAACATACGTTTTTTAAAAATAGCTGCTTTAAAATTCACGTTTTCGGTATGGCTGTGTAATTTACGTTGTAGAACAAAATCTCATCATACTTATCACAAGTATCATAAAGTTATCTTTACCACACGCTTTATTTTACTCCTAAATAGAAAAACCCCATAAGAAAATCTCGAAGGAACCACTGGCGAATTAGTCTTCCGGGTTCTGACGTCATCCCTGCACCACTCTATTTCCTCCTTGAAATGTAAATCAAGTTGCTACTGACATTAAAACCTGTAGCTGTTATTTTTGAGGTAAATCCAGTGAACAAATCAAACTGTATTACAACCTCCAAAAGTTGCCAAACCAAAAACAAGAAGATAAAAAATATTCCGCCACAATTTTGAATCCAGATTCATGCATGTAATCTGAGGGCTACATTATAGGAAGAGGGAACACATTGTTAGTGGTTTGTGATGTACAGATGACAAGGGAAAAAGAAAAGGATGGAGGGCTCTGTTTCACAGATTATACTTTGCTTTGATGAATGTGGCGACATATTTTGAGGTGAGTTTTGAACTTGAGGGAGACAGCCTTGATGTAACTTGATATTTCTTCTAAATGTCTTTCATTATCCAGGGGATTACGACCTTTATCTTTTGCTCTCTGTGTAAAGCTTTGGTGATTTTGACAGTGGGGCCTCTTGAGTAGGTTCTCAGCAGGGCTTTTGATCTGGTTAACGTGTGAAACGCTTAGTGGATTATGAGCGTCAACCTTTAACCTTCTAATCAGTTGATGAGCCTCGACTGTCAGATCATCATTTTGTCACCTTAGAAAGCTCAAATTCGTCTTTTGTAGGGAAATCCCAGCGATAAGTTGTCTCAGTTGAGATCTCTTAGGAAACATGCAGTTGTCTTTCAAATTGGATGAAATGGCTGTTAGTGGCATGCTCCCACAATGGGATGCTGCAAAGAATAGGTGATTATGATGGGCCTCCACTTCTGTTAAGCTCCTTTGGTGGTCCTAGAAATGGAAAGGTTTTTTGATAGAATGAGAAGTACTTTTCCACCAAAATGGCACCATTGTTTAATGCCCGGGACACACTTAACAACTAGCTGACACATTCAAAGACTGAACTGAACACACTTACAGACTGTTTCCAACGACTGCAGCAGATTTTAAACACAGACTGAACGCGACTCTGTGCTTTTGGGCATGATCAGTCGTAAGTATTAAATTACATTCATAATCGGCCTTACAGTCGTTAAGTGTGTCCTGGCTTAACTAGGAGATCTGACCATGTTACTTAGTAACCAGTGGACACAAATAAACAAAGTGCATCATGGTCTTTGTCTTACTTGCAGTGGTGGACAGTAACAAACCATTTTTACTTTGTTACTCTACTTAAAGGGTTAGTTCACCCAAAAATGAAAATTCTGTCAGTATTTACTCACCCTCATGTTGTTCCAACCCCGTAAGACCTTCGTTCATCTTCGGAACACGAATTAAGATATTTTTGATGAAATCTGAGAGCTGGATCACTCCTCCATACTAGTCCATAGGCTTCTTCAGGGATTGAACTTGCCGGCCTCGAAAAGTTATTAAAGACATCGTTAAAATAGTCCAAGTGACTACAGTGGCTCAATCTTAAGTTTATCAAGCGACGAGAATACTTTTTGTGCGCCAAAACAAACAAAAATAACGACTTTATTTCAACTATTCATTTCCTTCTCTTTGGGCCTCTAGTCAGTTAACGTAGTGTGATTCCGTAGAGCTACGTCACACGTAGGCTCACTATTGGCCGACGCTGGTCATGTGCGTGATGCGTGTGACGTACAACTACAGAAGCTTACGCTATTACACTAGTGAACTGACTCGAGGCCCACAGAGAAGGAAATGAATAGTTGAAATAAAGTCGTTATTTTTGTTTGTTTTGGCGCACAAAAAGTATTCTCGTCGCTTGATAAACTTAAGATTGAGCCACTGTAGTCACTTGGACTATTTTAACGATGTCTTTAATAACTTTTCGAGGCCGGCAAGTTCAATCCCTGAAGAAGCCTATGGACTAGTATGGAGGAGTGATCCAGCTCTCAGATTTCATCAAAAATATCTTAATTCGTGTTCCGAAGATGAACGAAGGTCTTACGGGGTTGGAACAACATGAGGGTGAGTAATTACTGACAGAATTTTCATTTTTGGGTGAACTAACCCTTTAAGTACATTTTTCAAGTATCTGTACTCTATCAGAGTATTTCTATTTAGGGAAACTTGCATAATATTGTTCTTTTTTTACTCCACTACATTTCATAAAAACATGTCGTTCCTTGTTATTTTGAAATGAAAAAAATCAGCACCCCCTCAGAGACGGTCTCCGATTCGTGAACGAGCTGTTTCTTTTCAATTAACTTGTTAAATCGGTACACAGATCTCACTGAATGATTCATTCGTGAATTGGACTGATCCGATTGCATCTGTTCTTGAGTCAACAACTCACTGATTCAAATGATCCTGTCAGAGCGAGTCTCCAGTTAGTACTGAATTCACAAGTCTGATATGTTTATGAAACTTATTTCAAATAAATTAAATTGGCATATAATTTTATTAATCGATTCACAGCCCTAGTTATTATATGTTTAAAGTTACTTTACCAGCAAAAGTTCTATATCTTGTAGCACCGTGGTTTGAGCAGGAAATTGTTTGTTTTAAAGGCTTCCTTTCTTTTTCTCTCACAGGAACCAGGAAGCTTGAGTATGCCGGCTCCACATGGCATGAGAGCTGTTTCATTTGCAACAGCTGTCAACAGCCAATAGGCTCCAAGTCCTTTATCCCAGATAAAGATGACCACTATTGCGTACCCTGCTATGAGAACAAGTTCGCACCACGCTGTACTCGATGTAAACAGGTCAGTGGTGGGATTTCACTAGCCTCTCTGCCTGAAATACATAACCATGTGTTCCTCATCAGTCCACACACACACATTCCTCCACAAAAAGTCAGAATTCTGACCTCATTTCTCCTTCATGTTGCATATCAGAACAGTCAATGATTAACTCTGGCTGACAATTTCACATCCTGTCTTGACAGGCAACCATCTGTTTGGAGTCTTGTCTCTATATTTCAGTGAAATACAAAAAAAAAACACGTTTATTAATTTAGTTGATAGATAAAATGATTACCTGCAGGGGTGTGCAAAACTATGCATTTTCAAAATCTGTTTAATTAGGATGGTTTTGAGTTCACCTCACCCTGCCTGATTTGATAAGTTAATAACAGCTAGATGGTATAAGGAAGGAATAAAACTGTAGGCTATGTGGAAGTCTCAAAAATTTGACTAACTTAACGAACTCTCAAAAATTATTCTGAACATGTAAGGCTGTAATGGTGGTGCTTTAATCTTGTTTCAGATCTAGATAAAACTACTCCATTGTTGGACAACTAGTAAACTTCTCAACTATAGTGAACCATCCCTAGCATACAATATTATATGAATGAACACTCACAAGACTGACAAGATGTTTTATGTCTAACAAACAATGGTTACAAAGAAGATGTAACTATTGTTTGGTGTGTATGTCTCTGTTGAACTCAGGCCTTGGCTAAAGGTGGTGTGACCTATAGAGATGAGCCGTGGCATAAGGAGTGCTTTGTGTGCACAAGCTGTAAAGTCCAACTAGCTGGCCAGCACTTCACCTCCCGTGAGGATAGCCCATACTGCATCAAATGTTTTGGAAACCTGTACGCTAAGAAGTGTGAAGCCTGCAGCAAACCCATTACAGGTAAAAGATGCATGGATGTCACTTTATTTTAAAAACCGATTGGGAGCTTTAGGGATCGGGGATTACAGATGTGTTCATTTAGACATCGTGAAATGATTGTGTCAGGAACTCATTTAATAAAAAAAGTTACAAATATCTTACGTGATTTTTATTTCCTTTTAGGTTTTGGTGGGGGAAAGTACATTTCGTTTGAGGAACGGCAATGGCACCAGCCCTGCTTCACCTGCTCTCGATGCTCCGTGTCCCTGGTGGGTGCCGGCTTCTTTCCCGAGCAAGACGAGATCCTCTGTCGCAACTGCAACAGCAACCTATAGAACGCAACCCCCATCCGCACACCTTACCTTCCCATATACATACATTCGTCTTTATTTTATACTGCTGTGCCCTCACCTGAGAACTTCCCGTCTCAATTGACGCCCATGCTGATACTGCTGTTTGAGATTACAGCAAACTACCCCCTCACACAATGGTCTCAGCTTCACCAAAATACTGCCACCGGAAAAAATACCGGAGGAACAAGACTTTTAAAAGATGCACCAAAGATTGCTGTTGAGACTTGATAGCCATGTAACGTTGAGTCCCTACTATAGTCTATCCGTTGCACAATCCAGAATCAACACTCCATTAATGTGTAGGTCTCTAAAATATCTGATGTGCCTACTAGTTATTCCCATCTTTATTTTTCCTGGCCAACCAGAGCTGTCATTCGGCTGGTAATGGTCATTAATGGGTGGATGTAGCCTTGTGTTTGCAGCCTGTGAAAGAACTCAAACAGATTCCTTCATAAACACCCAAAGGTTAAAGGTTTGGTGTTCTGTTAAAGTGACTGAACGGCCATTTAGAATTGTTCCAAACACTCTGCGCCAAGTAAAGTGAAAGAACAGGAATGAATGCACAACTTATTTTGTATTTTGGGTGCAATAAAAGTTACACTTTGAGAAGCAACCACCCAAAGCTAAACATCTAGATTTTACACACCATGTATGACACATAAATATGTATGTGACTGTTGAATGCTGTAGTTAGTGAGCACTTTTTCTAAAACTTCACTAAAACCTTTTGTTTCTAAGCAGAATTTGTCCTCTTGATGCATTGCACAAGCATTCAAAACAGTGGAGAGTCTTTCAAAATGCATAGAAATGTCAGAAAAAATAACAGCTCAAATGTTTCTGCGGTCCATAGATGAGTGGAAAAATGAAGTTCGAAATGCATTTTGTGTACAGGTGGAAGACGGACTTGCATTTGCACTACTATAGCTTGAATTATCTATAGAAGCACAGAAACTAAGATACAGCACACGTTACACTGTATATACACAAACTACATACTATTTCCTGTTCACTTTCTGTTTTTTAATTGTTTGATAATTAATTTGTCTACATTATGACCTCTACAGTCAGCATTTTCTTAAATCTTTATAAACATGTCTCTGTGTTAAGAGTGAATGCAATTAAACAATATTTGTGTCAGTATGTCACAAATGATAGTATGCATGTTGTCAAATTGAGTCAGTAAGTATTATTATTTTTTAATGCCAATTTTACTAGTTTCACTCTCTGGATATTTCTAAATGTATAAGTATATATTCACTTTGAGCTTAAATGCAGGAGAGAAAGAGTTGGCTAATGTGCATTTAATGAAAATGATTCAAGTGATACAAGCTTTGTAAGTTTGGGGTGTGGTAAAAAAAAACATTTCATTTTTAAAAAATTAAAAACAATTGTTATTGATTGTTAATAAATATTTTATAAATTAAACAAATTCTACGTCTTTTTTTTTCAGACTAGATTATGCAAAAGCACCAAAAAACAAGTATTTTTGGTACAAATTGGGTAAATTTGTGCCAAAGACATTCAATTGCATACCCAAGAGCCTACTATCCAATACAGTCTTCAATCTCATTCAGGGTTACCTTGTGCCTCTAGATGGGTGTGTTTATGTGGAAACGTGCTGAGTGTGCTATTTCTTCGCCTTGATGAGGCATAAGAACTTAAAACAAACACGTGGCCAAATCCGCTCTCTCTCAACACTGGTGAAGGTCTTCCTCCCCTTCTCTTTTTCAGCATTTTCACCAAAGAAGGAAATGGAAAAGCAGAACGGATGATGCTGGTGGGGGAGGGGGGGCCTTCTGGTGGACGTTGGGATAGCACGTGGGAGAGAACAGCCAAAAACGAAAATGAGAGGACGACAGGGGAGAGAGGGAGGGAAGATTGAAGTTTTTGGAGCTGGTCCATGACACTTCCACTGGGGTTCAGTTACATACACACAGTCAAGAGGTTTATGGGAAAAAAGAGAGGGTCAGTGAGGCAATAGAGGATGGTTAGGAGTATCACATGAGTGGTGGGTGAATCATTACCAAGGAAGGCTTGTGGGAAAACCGGACACTCTGAAGTTGAAGTGATTCAAAACTACACCGACTGAAGTGGCTCCTGTATTTAATTCATCATAAAGTAAGGAAGCCACCAAAACTGATACAGTCACTCAGATGAATGATGAAGCCCAACAACTGCAGAAAAACACAATTGTGAAACCGTGTCTATTATCCAGTTGTAAATGGATTAACTTTACCTGACAGTCTAATGTCTGCGCTGTGTGTATTAAAATATGAACAATGTAGCTGATACACATGGTACATTAGTGCAGCAGATCAGCAAAGTATTGTGGGGCAAAACCAAGGGGTTAAATATTTGTTGGTTAGCATGATGCTGTTAGCCCCTACTGGTATTCTCTGTAATACTAACTGATTTTTCCATTTACAAACATCCTAAAGTAGCCATGTATTGTGACAAAATACATGTAATTGCAAACAATACTGTATATATACCAGTTTACAAAAAGAAGAGGACCAAGAACTGATCCCTGGGGTACACTTCTTGTGAAAAACAAACAGCTACTACTTTCATCAAGGTAAGAAGTGAACAAGAAACGACCTGTGTCAGCGATGCCAATTGCTGAAGGATATTATTTCAGGGTATCAAATTTCATGGTTAAAGGTTCAAATTGGGAAGATTGAGACAACAGAAAGGAGGAGGTCATTAACAACCAGTAGAGACTCTGGAGACCTGTCTCTCAGTGCTATGTCAAGGATGAAATCCAGACTGGAAAGGCTTATACAGATTATTTGAAACTTGGTGCAAATGGAGCTGACAGGAATAAAATTCTCTTCAAAACATTTTCTTTAAAAGGTAGATTTAAGAGACATCATGTGTAATTATTTAAATCTGCAGGATCTAGACAACATTCTTTGAGGATTGGTGTAACAACATCAGAATTGTTGTCTCACAAAAAAAGGGAGGACAGATAGGGGATGAGTGTGGGATGCTGTTCTCTAGATAATATATTAGATTAAAGAAGGATTACAAATAAAGGAGAGACTGATAAGAGTAAAACTGTAAGTGCAGAAACTTCAGAAGAAAGTCCAAAAAGGGAATAGTCTTGATCACAACCGATGGAGAAATTGATTTCTAGCAAAACATTTCAAAACAAACTTATTGTGGACTCAAGATGCATGCATGTAATGTTTTGTTTTCTAAGGCACGTTTATAAAAGCTACTTAAATGTCCTAATTGAACTAAGGCCTAATCCTGGCTTAATCTAAGCCTTGTCTGTGAAACCTGGCCCTGGTGTTTTAATCCATCTCTTTTGTCAACTTTCAACCACTTCTGTCCTGATTTCCTTAAGAGGAGAGTCTATGGGCAGGTAAATGTACATACACTCACCGGCCACTTTATTAGGTACCCCATGCTAGTAACGGGTTGGACCCCCTTTTGCCTTCAGAACTGCCTCAATTCTTCGTGGCATAGATTCAACAAGGTGCTGGAAGCATTCCTCAGGGAGTTTGGTCCATATTGACATGATGGCATCACACAGTTGCCGCAGATTTGTCGGCTGCACATCCATGATGCGAATCTCCCGTTCCACCACATCCCAAAGATGCTCTATTGGGTTGAGATCTGGTGACTGTGGAGGCCATTTTAGTACAGTGAACTCATTGTCATGTTCAAGAAACCAATTTGAAATGATTAGAGCTTTGTGACATGGTGGAAGTAGCCATCAGAGGATGGGTACATGGTGGCCATAAAGGGATGGACATGGTCAGAAACAATGCTCAGGTAGGCCGTGGCATTTAAACAATGCCCAATTGGCACTAAGGGGCCTAAAGTGTGCCAGGAAAACATCCCCCACACCATTACACCACCACCACCAGCCTGCACAGTGGTAACAAGGCATGATGGTTCCATGTTCTCATTCTGTTTACGCCAAATTCTGACTCTAACATCTGAATGTCTCAACAGAAATCGAGACTCATCAGACCAGGCTACATTTTTCCAGTCTTCAACTGTTCAATTTTGGTGAGCTCTTGCAAATTGTAGCCTCTTTTTCCTATTTGTAGTGGAGATGAGTGGTACCCGGTGGAGTCTTCTGCTGTTGTAGCCCATCCGCCTCAAGGTTGTGCGTGTTGTGGCTTCACAAATGCTTTGCTGCATACCTCGGTTGTAACGAGTGGTTATTTCAGTCACTGTTGCCCTTCTATCAGCTCGAACCAGTCTGGCCATTCTCCTCTGACCTCTGGCATCAACAAGGCATTTCCGCCCACAGAACTGCCGCTCACTGGATGTTTTTTCTTTTTCGGACCATTCTCTGTAAACCCTTGAGATGGTTGTGTGTGAAAATCCCAGTAGATTAGCAGTTTCTGAAATACTCAGACCAGCCCTTCTGGCACCAACAATCATGCCACGTTCAAAGTCACTCAAATCAACTTTCTTCCCCATACTGATGCTCGGTTTGAACTGCAGGAGATTGTCTTGACCATGTCTACATGCCTAAATGCACTGAGTTGCCGCCATGTGATTGGCTGCTTAGAAATTAAGTGTTAACGAGCAGTTGGACAGGTGTACCTAATAAAGTGGCCGGTGAGTGTACATTTAAATATAAATTTAAATTTACATATAAAGGCGCCTGGAGACAATGGAAAAACATGAGAGCATCAGCTTTCGTTTCTGCTCTGATAGCCGCAAGACCACGCTTAATGTGGTGTGGTGTGTGTTAAAAATCAGGAATGGTGAGAGAACATTGTGCTTGGTACATTTTTCATCTTCAAACCAGACTTGGGTCTTCAGCCGACAAAATTTGAATCCCGTCTGGCTAGCGCACTTCCCATGTTTACACATTAAATTTGTAGGTGGAGAGTAAGCGGTCTTTTGTGGGTATTCAAACACATTCCAACACATGAGTGTTTACGCTACGAAAGCAATCCAGGAGAATGTGTTTTCAACTGCCTCTGGAAGTGGTTGAAAGTGGACAAGCTCAAAATGTTTCAGTCCCCGTTTACACCTGTATTTAG